AGTTCCCTTCATTGTGTATGGTACAGCAAGTACATTGACACTGCCTTCTGAACGGCACTTTCCAGTAACCACCAGTACCTATTCCTCTCACCACTCTTTGCCCCTTCTGTAAGAAGGGATTCTGGTATTACTTTTATTATCTTGCCTCAGTGTAGGGGAGTCGCCTCTGTGTAGTCTCCTGAGGTCCCTCCCTGACCAAGGCTGCTGGGATTCTAACCGGTTTGAGCTCATATTTGCCAGACTCAGAAGCTCACTGCAAATTGGGAAGAGAATTGCTGGTGAGCATGTGTTTATTTTTGGATTAATGTTTTCACATTGTCATTATACTGTGATTCTTTTTAAAGTCATTTTACTTTTGATCTGAGAAAACTGACTAATTATGTGGCTGTGTAAGGTAGAGGCTGACAACAGCCTTGGATAAGTTGCGATGAGTTGGATGTGATGCTGTAGCTGAAAAACTCAGGCAGCACGCATTGGGCCACTGCAAATAGCGGAGCAGCTTGGTATTTTCGCAAGTGCATTTGACATCACCTAGCTGTTATTCTGATGAAACGCCTGTTGTGTGTTCACAGAGATGTCTTGACTGTCAGGCAGCACACTTAGGACAGATCAGAACTCCCGTACCAGTTTAGATGTGGTCGATCACTGGTTTTCTCACAGCAGTGCAGTTAAAACTGGCCAATCTTTTTTCCTTTGCCTTCTGACAGTGTAAGTGCATTCAGACCCCCATGGTACCATGCCAGGACAGCTTCTGGGACTTGAGCCTTCGCTACCTTGCACAGCCGAGCCATCCCTTGTCTACAAATGCTTGGACCTAACTAGGCCAGAGTCATGAGGCATGCTGATACGCTTTTGTTCAGTGCTCAGCTCTGTTGCCTTGGATAAATAAAAAGGCCATACTGTTTACAGTGTCCCATTTCCATAGCTGATTTCATGTTATGAATCACTAGAATTTCTTGGTTTAATCTTAAATATGTGAAATATTTTGTATAAATTTTAGGAGTGGGACTTTATCATCTCATTGGTTAACATTGCATTGATGACCTCTGTCTAGTCCTCATGCTGGGTGATGCTCAGTGTGTTAGCAAACAAAACAGTCAAAAGGAAAATGAGATCTAAAAACATGTGAACAAACATCTGCAGAGTTCTCATCTCCTGAATAATAAACATCGTTCTACTCTATTCCTTCCTTAGTATTCTCTGTGTATTTGTCATCCCTTGCTGTGCTACATCTAATTTACAATCTAATCCCTACCAGAAAAAGAACTTGCAAGTTTTATTTGCCGATGTACTATGCACACACAGTTTAAATGTTAAAATGTTTAAATAATGGGAAAAAAATTGAGTGGGCAAAGATAGGAGTGTCTCCCTGCAACATATCCCAACTAGCAATTCACCCCTCCTTCTCCATTCTTCCGTTAATCATAAGTTAATTATGTGACAATTCTAAAATGAATGAAGAAAAAAACCTGCTAAGAACAAGGAGGAGGCTTACAAACTCACTGTAATTTGCAACTGAGTTGAGATGTGTTAATAAGCACAACCCTAGTGTATTAATTAATTTGCATTATCACTTAGCCTTGTGTTTCTGTAAAGATTTTGTTCCCCTGGATTTTAATTTTGAATGTTTCCTAAATAAAACAGTCATGGTGATAGATAATTTTGTTTGGAAAATCAGCTCAATGAAGCTGATGAATAAATGCATCTTGAATTTCCCTAAGCAAATGGAATTCAAATTAGGGATATTTATTGGTTGGGTTGGTTTTTTTTCACGGTGTCTTTTCTCCTTTGTGTTTGTTCTGCTGAATGTGTTGAGTAAGGAGGTAAGTATTAGGTATGATTAGCTCACGTAGTCTTCCAGAGGGGTAGGAGCATCGGTCTAGCTTTATTTGAACAGCAAGTGTTGTATATAGTGTTGGTTGACTTTTAAAGATAATGTTGCTAATAAAACAAATTAGGCAACATGCTTCATAGTTTAGATGGTTAAAGTAAAATGTAAATTAGAAACCATATCTTGGTTGATCGTTGCTTCTTAACTGATATGAGTTGTTCTCTCTCATAATGTAACTCTTTCCACGTTTTGATTGCCTGTGTTTCTAGTTAGATCACTTCTTTCTGGCCTATCACTAAGCAATTTTTGAAAGGCCGTAGTGCATCTATGATTCCTTACCATTACAGCTTTGTGTTAGAACCTCAATTACTTCTGAAAATCAAATTCCTGTTCTTTTTGTCAGCCTGCAGCTATTGTAAAAAATTTCATTCTCTCATTCTAGACCCTTTATACTTATCACAGATTCTTACACAGCGTGTGACTATAAAATGCTCTTCTTGATACAGAATTATTCACACGAGACTTTAGATTTTCAAAGATCCCTTCTATTTGCGGTGATAACCATGAAAATATTAACTATGTTTCAAGCCTCATAACATTATTTACCTGTATGTGCAGACAGCTTGAAACAGCATCTGTAGCTAGTCTGATTTGAGATAAAAAAGGCAATTCAGAGTTTCTTGGATCCCACTCACTTTCCAAGCCTTCTGTTAGGGATTTTCCCAGAGTTTTGCATATTTGCCACAAAACTTGTGTTTTGTCACCCTTTTAAAATGTTTTCTGGTTTCATGTCCTCCTACAAAATATTGCAGAAGTTTCTTACTGAGTTTCTTTCCTGGAGAAATATCGAGGTTACATTATATTCCTAAAAAGCAATCTTCCTACCTAAGGCATAAAAACGTATTTAGGGCATGCAAAGAACTTCATCTGTGTCCTGTAGCAACTGAAGAGAGGAGAGGGAATAAAGTGGAATTACTTACTAGTTCTCTCAGCCTCCTTTAATTCTGAGAAACTAGAGAGGAGATACATCGTAGACAAAAATTATGTAGTATATATCGGGTCAGAACATTTAATTTGCAGATTTTGACCTACAAGCATCTATGGGTAGTTTAGCCACTCACAATGTGATTAAAAATTAAAAGGACTCTCTTTCTTATCATACAGATATTATTGAAGGGTGCACATTAAGTAAAAAAGCATAATAGAAGTACTGCAACTTTTTAATCAGATTATCTATGGCAGAGAGGCTCTGAAGATATATATATATCCTTCCGCAGTTGAAGAGCTGTGGCATTCTGACACTTTTAAAAATTGCTGTATTAATACTGCTTTACTTAAGGAATATTCACTTTATCTTCCATAAGAAATAATGGAATATATCGCTGTGCAAGAATACCTGTTTCTTTCATTCCACTACTGTACTCAAGCAGTTCATAAATCATTAGAATGCGGGAATGAAAGAGTAAATTGCTGGAGTCTTCCCTAAACCTGTGGCAGTCATACAGCTGTGTGTGCATACATCCTTCCAGGCATTCCAGAAACAGGAATTAGTTTTCACTGACCTCACCCACACTGAATACTTGCTGCTAACTAAAATCATTTCAGCAAGACGCAGCATGTAAAGTGGTTTTAATAATTTTGCTTTGAACTGGAAGAGTAATTCCATTTCTGATTACTCCAACACTGCAAAACTCAGCAGAAATTTCAAAGCCTATCAATTAAAGTGCTTTCTAATCAGGGACATTGACTGTATCCCTTCTCCTCCTTATGCAGTAAAATTCAGGCTGCCTGCATTACCTCTCTGTTATGGTCACTTTAGTTTCCTCTTTAAAAAGAGAATACTGTTTCAAGTATAGAAGAAAACACTGCAACCATATTTAGTAGAATTCTTTGAGAATTGCAGAGAAGAGTATTGCAAAAGTTAAAGTCTATCAGTGTTAGGCTGAAGCTAGGGGCATAATACCAGCAGATTGTGCTGCCCATATAGTTCTTTTATTCTCTCCATTTAGCCTGAGAACATTTTAAGGAACATCAAGTCCCCAGCTGTTTTCATTCATCACCACCTTCCATACAAGCCTACTCAGGAGTTAGTGTAAAGACTTTATTCTGCAGTGCAGAAAATAGACCCTTAGGAATTGTTCCTTCCTCACTTCTGCATGTAGCATGTGCAGGGCTTAGATGTCACAGCGATCTTGATCATCCGTTTCACAAGTTTCCCTGGGAGAAGTGGATGCACGGTACAAGGCAGCCTAAGCAGGCGGACAAGGAGCCAGCCAAGGTCCGCTGGGTTTCCCTGGTCAGCAGGAGCAAGAAGCCAGGACCGCGGGTACCACGCAGAATGTGCCGGCTCTGCCACTTGAGCAGAGCTCTGTTGTATTGGGCCTTGGTGCCCAAGCAAAGATTTGTTCCATTGAACTGGCATGTCTGCTGTACTGCAGTGATTTCAGAAGGATGACTGAATGAGAAGGAATTATTCTAGATTATCAGTTCGTTTAGCTAAAATCAGGACTGAGACTTAAGAGGGAAAGCCTACATGGTGGTAGCTAGGTCAGAAACCACGCAATTCCCAGCTTCCAGGTTTTACATATGCCGCCAGCAAAAGCTTGACTGCAGCTTTCAGGGCATATCCAGGCTGTCTGTACGCTGGGCACCTCACAGCAGTGGGGATGATGGGCTACGCTAATGGAACAAGGGATCATGCTTTGCTGTTCCTAGTGCTTGAATAAAGTTGACAAAAATATACACGTGCTCTTTCTTAAGCAGTGTCATTACTCTCATCATTACCTTCACTCAGAAGGTTTTTTCTGCCTTAGCTTTGCCTATAAAATAAGAAACAGGCTACAGGTAGGTGTCTGTACCATGTGAAGAACTCTGAGATCTAGCTGTTGTTTCTAAACATGTAATATGTTAATGTGATAAGTCTATTTTATTTTCTTCAAAGCTTCTTGTCGTAATATCTGTAATATCAGTCATCCTGCTATTCTGTGCAACAGAACAATTTCTCCAGTAATTAACATTAGACTGACAAGTGGGATGAGAAGTATTCCTAGGCTAGAACAAGAAATTTATTCCAGCCTGCTTTCATGAGTCTTCTTCCTTCATTCAGAATGTGTGATGGTTTTCATTGCCATTTTTCACCAACTTCCTTATATTCTTAAATTTGTTACAGTGTTTCAGCAAAAGGCTGCTCAAGCACCCAGTGACAACGACAGGATGTACTGCGATGCCAGGAAGCCAGGTACAGAATTTAATTTAGCTCTTTAACTGCCTTGATGCTTTTCAGTAGAACTAGTAGAGATTTGCTGTGACTTGATTTTGGCTGATTTAGCATCTGTTTTCCCACATATGATTTATATCCTTAATGATATTGCAGCATTAAGAGATCAGATTAAAGAAAGAAAAATAAAAGGTACACTCTTGTGGGAAAGATTTGTAGAGTCAGAGTTACTTTACGCTTTTCTGTTTCCTTCCTCCGTTGCAATTAAAATAAAGGAAGAGCAGGAGGGCCCAGCTGTGCACTAATTCCAGCCAGGGAGAGGCAGCAGTGTAGGGAGCAACAATTCTCTCCCTGTAAATGGTACTCCAAGATCGATGTAAAATTAATTAACTCGTGGCAGTCCAGTTGTTATTTGAGTTGTAGCACATCAAAAGGGAGTTGTGGTTGTTCAGCCTGGAGAAGAGAAGGCTCCGGGGAGACCTTATTGTGGCCTTTCAGTACTTAAGGGGCCTTAGAAGAAAGGTGGGGACAGACTTTGTAGTAGGGCCTGTTGTGATAGGACAAGGGGTAATGGTTTTAAAACTAAAAGAGGGCAGATTCAGACTAAATATGAGGAAGACATTTTTTACGATGAGGGTGGTAAAACACTGGAACAGGTTGCCCAGAGAGGTGGTAGATGCCCCATCCCTGGAAACATTCCAGGCCAGGTTGGACGGGGCTTTGAGCAACCTGTTCTAGTCGAAGATGCCCCTGTTCACTGCAGGGAGGCTAGACTAGATGACCTTTAAAGGTCCCTTCCAACCCAAACTATTCTTTGATTCTATGATAAAACAGAGTAGTTTTTATGGTTCTGAGGAAATACACACATGCCCCCACACCCCCTTTTGCAATAGCCTCATACAGGGCTAGGAGAGCCCTGTTTTGTTGGCTGCTCGTGTGTTCTGAATCAGCTATTTCAGTATCAGTATCCTGGAGATATGCAGTGCTACACCTCCCTGGACCAAGCTGTGAATCTGGTAACACACACCTCCCTGTCATTTCCCTTCAGTTGTGCACCGGTATCATAATCTTTAGGAGGGCTCGGTTGTAATGTTTTCTTGTCACTGCAATGTATTTAATAATTTGGGGGAAGGAAATCATGTGAAATTTTCAAAATTATTTCTGACCAAATTTCAGCCCCAGCTTTTGAGAAATGTAATGTGTGCAGTTGGAGAAAGAAGGGGGAAAAAAGGCACTGTGGATTTTTTTGGCTTAACATAGCAGCAATTTCCTTTAAAATGTCAGTACTCTAGCTGTAGAGCTAGAAGGAAATTCTTATTTGAACTGACACTAATGGAGAATCCATGGATCAGGGCAATAGTAATAAACGAAATGTTTAAGATGCTACTCTGCTGCCAAAGAGTAATGGTGGAATCCTCATTGATTTGTTGCATTTCTCTCATTGGGGAAAAAAAACCCCAAACCTCAAACAAACAAAAAGAAGAAGGGGGAGGGGGTGGGGAGCCATCCTAAAGATGGTGTGGTTTTATGGATGTCAGATTATAAAATCACTGCTTACATGCCTTTGTTGAAAAAAGTGCTTGCATTGTAAAGAGAAAGGAATGAAATGGGTTAATATTTTCTACCTTTGTCTTTCTGCATTTTGTAGCAGCACATAGAGGCCACGCTGACTCAGTAACTGCTAGCACTGTGAAGCACACCATCCCTGCTGAGCAGGAAGAACTCATCTACTTGCAGGAACAGGTGAAAAAGGGGGCAATTTCTGTGAATGAAGCTCTTGACAGATTTAAACAGTGGCAAAATGAAAAACAGAGGCTACAGTCCACTCAACAGGTATGAGCCTGAAATTTATGTTTCTCAATGGGAATCTTGATCAGAAGTTCCAAACACAAACTCTTGTATTTTGGCTCCTACGTGTGAGGACAAAAATAAGAGTCATGATTTATATGCCCATCAGCTCCCAAGGAACTTGCTGCTTGTGGTTCTGAATCTTCTAGATGCCCATTTCCACTGTTGTTTGATTACTCGAGAGGCTTCCTGAATTTATTTTGCCTAACCTCAGGTGGTGTTGCATTCGGTTAAAATCCTGAGTGAAATATGTTCGTCTTTTGAGACTTCTGTTCTAAACTGCTAGGTGATGCTTAGGTCTATGCATCTTTTATGAAATCACAAACCTATAGCTGAACAAACCAAATGCACTATCGAACAGTGTCAGCTAACAGAAACGTACCTATATCAAATGTACATTGTTAATATATGGTGACTTACATCAGGCTTTATGCCTTCCTGAAAGTGTTGAATCTACTTAGTGAAATTCACAGGTGTTAGCAGTGCTTTTCAGCTCCTTTATGTTCGATGTATGGAGTAAATTGAGGTGCACAAAACCAGGATTTACAAAAGCCCACACACTGAGTCACTGAAAGAACTGCAACAAAGCTAGAAGCTCAGGAGAAAGGCATGGTCAGGAGGTTTGTTAATGACTTCTAACAAGACAGCTGGAGGAAGAGGTTATGCCCTCATTTTATATGAGGTCGTGCATTAATAAAAATATTTTCTTTTTGTCCTTTAAGTGCATTTAGTAGAGAGAGGAAAGCCAAAGCCAGTCTACTACTCTACAGATTGGGAGAGCTATCAAATGCTGCCAACAAGGAGAGATTAAATGCTCTTTGTGTTGGCATTTACTGAAGAATAGCATGAGCTTTGTCATTGTAGTGGGACACTTACAGCAAAAGTGCAAGGGCTTAGGAGAGTTTAGGAGGCCAGTTCCCAGGCTGGGCATCAGCAGCACTACCTGTCCCGCAGCAGCGCGAGAATGTGGTGGATGCCCCCTTCCGAATCTGTCTGTGACTGAGCACACAGATGGGAATTGCTGGTATTGCTTTATCAGTCAGGGGAGTTACTTGTGGAGGAAGATGATATCTAACCTGTGCAGATAGCAGCACTAAGCCATATGTCGTCTTTTTCTTGCTTAGCTAGAAAGTGGCTGTATTTCAAGGAGGATTTACTTGGCCTGTTTTCACTGCTTCAGGGGAAAAAGGTACTTTCTAGTGGTGGTTTGAACCCTGCATTGCATGGGTGACTTTTCTTTGGTTTTGTACTCAATATGAACGTGATGAATTTACTTCATGCTATCACTGCAGTTGTGTGGTCTTCACTGGAAGTTTTTGAGGAAAAATTGCTTGTCCAAAGCAAAAAATAAGCCCCCGAGCCTCTGTAATCTAACACCAGAATCAGTGTAACTTACTGATGGGAAAAAAAACGCCACAAGACTCTTAGGTATAAATGCTAAAATTAACATCTACTTATCATAATACATCATAGAGGTTTTCAGTCTTTTAAAATTATTTTCCTGGAAGAGAAGCTTGATGTTTAGAATGCTGAAGAATCCAGCTTTTTATAGTTAGTCATTATTTCTACAGTAAACTTCTGTTACTGATTTCTGCTGCTGATTTTATACTTCTCTTTTACTTAAAGGATTTTTGTGCACCACCTTAGGGATGCCACTATTGGAAACAGACCAGAGAAGGAAAATCTGAACGGTAAGCTGCACTTTCTCTGCCTTTCAGAACACTGGTGCCTTGAACTGTAAGTATACTGCAAAGGTCTGATCCAAACCATAAGCAGACTTTTGGATCAGGCATTGAATTTGTAATGAGCGTTTTCTGTATCTGACTCCATTTAAGTTATGTTAGTGCAATCTGGCCTTCAGCAGGGTCAAGCTTTCATCCCAAAGATGAGCTCACTGAGAGTCAATGGGGCGGAAAATTTACCAAGTCTTTGTCACTCAGCTTTTCTGTAGCCTGTTTTCCTACTGCTTCATCACAATTAGTATAGATGATTTCTTTAGAACAATTTACTTGATGACTTCAATATTTTATTTGTAAATCACCTATCATTTTGCACTTGCAAATTCTTGAAGAACTTTCCTCTGCTACAGCAGTTTAGTATTGTGAGTCATTAATAAAAGCTGTACCACTGGACATTTAAGATGCATTTGTTTTTTTTTTCCTTTGTGATTGAATGCCATCTGCAGCAGTATAAATCACCTGCATTTTCTGCGAGTGATTTTCTCTTGTTATGAAACAATTGTATTAGATGGTATTGACTTTAGGCCTATGATTTCTGTAAACTTCAGTACATATACATTCTTGGAAGGGAAATCTAGTGTTTCTTTTTTTTCACATTGGACTTACTTAGTATCATTTGTATATCACTGTTTAAAATTATCACCTAAATGCGTTATTTCCTTGCTGCAAGAGAGAAAAATAGTCCACAGTACTGCTTTCATTATTCTGTCAGACCCTGTTGTATTTATGTGGACTTGTGAGATATTGTAATTAAGGGAAATTCTTGCCAGCCCAGTGGCAGAGTTGCAGTCCAGACTACTTATATTTCAGCTTTAATATCCTCCCTGGTTGGGAAGGGTGCAGCATCCTGAGCACGTGAACAGGCTCAGTCCGTAAGCCTTCCCAAGGCACTCGGAGCCCAGGATAATTGCATTGGTTCCTGCAAGCTGTTTTCTATAGGCAAGGCAAAGCTGATGAGGACATGAGCTTGATTCCTGGGAAGTATTTGTCTGTAGGGTTTCCTTTTAAGGCCAAGTCAGTCCTGCCTCTGTAACTGTCCTCTCTCTCCAGAGTTTGGTTATTGAATCATACCAGCAGAAATGTAGTATCAACACCAGAATTGTAAATTTTGTGAAATTATCCAGTAACTCAGATAACGATGACGCTGTTCCCTTTTGATCCTAACCTCTCTGCCCTCCGTTACACTGTCTTATAGCCTGTGATGCATATAAATCAGCAGCTTTACACTGCAGAAATATGAAGAATCATTATGGAGGCCCCTGCCTTGTCCAGCAGTGCACTTTAAATCTTTGATAATAAATTCTTGAAAATAAGAACTTCTAAAAGGTGAAACTCCCTCTACAGCTGGAGGCCTATTGATGGCAAGAGTAAAGCAGGATCTCAGAAGACATATACCTAAGTCCAGACATAAATAAATTGCCTGAAACAAAAATGACAATCATGTTCTTTCCTCTTTTGTAGTTCCTAAGGAAAGCAGACCAGAGAGCATTCCGTTTAGAGACTTTTTGTTCCACGTGCCATTTAATAAAGCGGTATGTATGAATGTTAACAGTTCACAGATTTGTTTAATGAAGTTGAGTTTTTACATCTATATAGAGACTCTCCCTCTGAACCTTTAAAAACATAGGCCTCCCTCTCCAGCTTCCATGTTTGAAATCAGGATTTGGATAGTCTTTTTCATAGATGGTTTTTGAAGACTGGATTGAGGATTTAAAGCGATTACATCAGAAGCCTGTTAGAAAAGGAATTTGGTTTTATTTTAATGAGAAAAGAAAGTATCTCCTATAAATTAGTATGGAATATAATTTTTAGTTTCTTGATAAGTTTGATCTTGCTTCCACTGTAATGAAAGTAATTAATGAGAGTGGCACTCAGTTCAGTCTTCCATTATAATGTTTGATGCTATCTCAAAGTTCAAGTCTCGTTTTGCAACAGTTTAATATACGACTGAATAACACCCAAAAAAAAAAAAAATCAACTGCAAAGCAAAAAGTTCTGTCACTCTTGGAGTGAAATATCTACAAAAACCTGTTTTAAGAACAACTAAACAAGGACTAAGCATGTAGAATGTTCATTTGCCAAAAGTACAGGCACAGGCAATGATTTATCTCATTACTATATAATATATGTATGGTCTTGCCCATAGACATTGATAATCTCTTTTTTCCAAGAAGGGAAGTAAGATATTAGCCAACAGAACAACAACAATAAATGCCTTTAATAAAATTTCATGGAAATACATAAATGATTTGGGGACAAAAGCTCCATTTTGAAATCTGAGTGGCATGGATTGTTTAAGGTATTTAAGATTTTCCTTGGCATCTTTCCCAACACCACCAAAGTACTGAACTAGAAGTAGCCTATTGCCTATGGGAATATCTGTAGGCGAGGCTCATACACTATTTGGAAAGACACCTTGCCAACCGTGAAATGCTACAGAGTAGGAGACAAGGAAGAATGGAGAGAACAACAGCATTGAACTTATGAGGTATGTCTTGGCAGTTGAAGTCCTCAGCTATGGGTCTCCTCTGGGAGATGTTACCAGACAGGGACAGCCAGAATGCACCCACACCAAGGTGGATGTGTGCTGTTCTCACAGTAAGGTGCTGTGCTCTCACACTAAGGTAGACGGTGTATGGCATGAGCATACAAATCCGGTTAGACCTCAGCTTACTCTGTGATAACTGATTCCTTGCCTATACCCTTGAGCATAAAAGGCTTGAGAGTCTTGGGTTTGTGCATGTCCGCTAACAGAATGAATGGCAGCAATGATGTGAGGATGACAAGTTTCCTATAAAGTATTTAAAAGACAATGCAGCTTTCACATTCATTCCATGTCTATACTTTCTAGCACATAGGAATTTTTAAAAAAACCTGTATGATGCCTATCTTCATCTTTGGATATTTGAATTACCTACATGAATTTCATTTAGCTGTTTCTGAAAATGAGATTTCAAAATCTGCCTTCTATTGCAGCTACATTATGGCACCTTATGTGCCACATCCCACAGATTTAGTCATCCAGCATCTAAAAATAAGTGCAAGATTGCAGAAACTACGTGAGATGGTTTGAATTGCTTGTCGTTAGGTATCCCCTCAGAGCTAATCTCTGTGGAACTTTGAACTTGGTCTTTAGGGGATTCAGCTAGTATAGTGTAAGATTCCTCATCAAAACCGGGAATGACTGATACTCTGTTCTCCACTCTTGGTGTAGTAGCAAGAACTGAGTAGTAGGTGTCACTGCTTCACTGCTAGGTAACGAGCAAGATAGAGGCCGCAGAAGACCAATACTACATTAGGCAAATGTTAAGTGTTAAGCTTGACTCTTTTTCTAGTTATTTCCATGCCAGCAACTTACATAATAGTTTTAAATGAAGGTAGGTCTTAGAAAACATGTCGGATGCTTAGTAGTCCTCTGGTGACAAATGTACCCATGGGGCAAATGAGCAATTCAGTCTTTGCATCTGTTCCAATCTTGGGATCCTTGGCAAGACTGGCAAGGTAGGTGGCCTGCTGTGGAAAGAAAGGTCAAAGGCTTTTCCCACAGGGAACTCAACCGAAACTAGTTATTTCTTAGCTGTTATAATCGGGGGTACTTGCACTGAAAGTGGCCTTCATATCCAAGAAGGACAACTTTACAAACTGTTTCTATAGACTGTTTAATACCGACCCACTCCTGTAAGGCAGCGTAAACAGACAGGTCATCCACTGCAGTAAAGGCATCCTCCAAGGAATTGCTTCTTCCAGATTTTGATTTCCAGATTTGTAGATGCCTATGACAGTAAAGCAGGTCTGGTTTAATTAAGTTTGCTCAACCAGCTGCCAAAGACCAAATCTCTTCCTCAGCTTCATCCAAAAAACACTCAAAAGAGCACTATGCACCTCTCAAACTGGCAGGTTATTGATTACGTTCACCATCCTAAATGTCTGGCTTCATTCCTCATCAGCACCTTGTTTTTAGTCCAAGTTGCTAACAGATTGCTTATTCATCAGTTGATGCTGCTCCAGCTTGCAGGTAGTGTCCAATTAGAGTTCCCTGAAAAACTAAAAAACCAGCACTTAATTTTGAGCACATTAACGCATTTCCATTGTCTGTGATAGGTCAATAGGAAGATGATCCATGGGAACTCAAACTTCTTTACTCAACCCAGTTAGCAAAACTGGAATAACTCGGGATCCTGAAGCACATACAAGCTTTTGTATGTGCGGAGGGCAAGGAGTTCATAGAAAAGGGTTTGGTTTTTTCCTTCATGACTTCAACAGTATGCATTTCAACCAGGACCTGTAGTCTTGAAAATACTTATTGGTAGTTCACAATGTGTCCATTGGACTTGTGAAGCTACATGTTTAGCCTGGCTTATTTCCAGTTTCTTAAGTATTTTGTAGCTTGACATGATACTCAAATTTAAAAATCAAGAAAAATAACAAAAACCAGTTTCCTGCCCATTTGTCACCAAATCGGGTCTTCATGAGGCAAGCCCACAGTCAAAGCGTTGACTCAGGAGTTTGCCAGGAAAACTGAATATCCCTGTACACCTCAGCCTCTCCTAATTGCCACCAATAAAGACCAGCTATGCTGTTAGAAGTAAGATTTATACAAAATCCACCTCATGTCATTCTCCCACACAACACCTGCCTATTTTTGTGGATGATTCTTGCTCCCCAGGACACGTGTTATATTCACATTTGAAGTAAAACATGTAAAAAGTGATTCATCCTAGGTATGTATTTTGTGAATTACTCAACTTTGAAAGACATACTGCACTGGCCTAATTTATCAGTGATATACATGACTATTTATTACTTGCATCTATTTCCTTTCAGTCTCCAACTAGGAACCCAATGGACAGGGAACAGATGCCTAATTAACAGAGGTAAGAGCATCACACACAGAGACATCATTTGTCATGGAAACTAAGGCTTGTGGAAGTACTTCCCATCTGAGCGCATTTGTGTAACAATAGACTGGAAGTGTATCTCAGAGGTCTGATTTCAGAAGCAAAACCATAATCATCATACATTCTGGTTTGTACTAGAATTTATTTTTTTGTCAGATGTCAACCTATTTTTGTTACTGCAGGGCAGATTTGCAAGCAGTTACTTACCTGACTTGTGGATGCAGCTGAAGAGAGTTCCCATTAGTTATTGCAACTAATTGAGCTTATGCAACTGAAAGCTGTATTAGTGCATGAGTGATCAGTATGTAGGACTACCCTCTATCGAACATACTGAATATCAAAATAAAGTTGAAATGTAGAGATGCAAGGATGTGTCCAGAAATGCTGATTAACCAAGAGACCAACGGTCATTTAAGTGCTGGAAAGCTTATGGGTGATGATACTGTTTCCGCAAAGAGCAGGATTTTCTGATGTTTGTGTTAGTGATTGTGAGTTTCTTGGCTTTAGGCATCTAATGAGATCTTTAATACTTGGCAGGTTTAATTGCTATGTGGTACCTGTGTACTATGTATATCTCATAGCAGTTTTAAAACTGTATGTCTGCTTTTCAATGAAACAGTCGTTGGGCTTGCTGCTAGGAGACAAAAGTAGCAAATACATCTGGTTTACAGCATTCTTTGGGGGGGTGTGTGTGTGATTGTTTTTTGTGGGTTTTTTTTAATCAGTTCAGTTTTCAAAATGTGCGCTGAGAACAAACTTACCAGGAACTGAACTTAGATCACCATCTGAGGTTGTGGACTTCATGAATTATCCCACATTCATTCTGAGAATAATCCCTCTGAAAATGAGAGTTGTGCAACCTTTCTTAAGCGTGGAAGGATAATTTCCATTAAACGTTTAAGGCCAAGAACAAGGATTTCTGCATTCTGTTAATGTATGTGCAGATCTTTTCCTTGAGATCTTTAAAAAATTTCCCATCCCTTGGTTTTCTTAGGCACTGAATTTCTTCGGTTTGTTGATCTCTGCCAGGACAGGTTGTGCTGTAACAGCTCCACAAGTCAGAGTTAGATTTTCTTTCTCAGTTTCCATTCCTGGAAAAACAAAAGTTTCAAAATTAAAATTTACCATTTTAGATATGAGTAGTGTTTGTAATTTTGCATGATTAGAGTTCTAAAAGGGATTAAATAATATTTGTTTACAGTAACAAAATGATACAACTTATTCCTGAGGACAAATGTAATTTTAAATGCTTTTACCTAAGTTTGATTCAATTTGTCTTTCCAGCTTTTCCAACTGGGGGCAATGACATGCTATACTGTTGTAGCATTGTTATTGTGGCACTGAAAAAGGATAATATTCAGTGAGGTCTTTTCTGCCACTCTTCTCTAATGTAAAGCAGAGGGCAGTTGCTCCTTGTGAGAACTGTGTTTCCATGTCTCATTTCTGAAGCCAGGTGCACTCCTGCTCACCGGAGTACAGTGCCCACACCATAAAACAATAGGTACCTCCTCTGCTGCTGCTCATCTTTACCACTTGTTCAGATCCCCCTCCTCCAGAGGTCTCATAAGATCCAAAAATTAGTCTTATGGTGTGACCTGAAAATGAAAAATGATCACTCCTCCGCCGAGAGGCAG